AATGGTGCCAGAAAGCTCCTGGGCCTTAGCAATCTTCTTTTTTTTTTTTTTTAGATTTATTTATTTATTAAGTATACAACATTCTGCTTCCATGTATGCCCGCACGCCAGAGGAGGGTGCCAGATCTCATTACAGATGGTTGTCAGCCACCATGTGGTTGCTGGGAATTGAACTCAGGACCTTTGGAAGAGCAGGCAATGCTCTTAACCTCTGAGCCATCTCTCCAGCCCCCGCAATCTTCTTATAGTATGGACGGGGAACCTGATCTTTTTTTTTTTTTTGTGAGTGGTTTTTTTTTTAATATTTATTTATTTATTATGTATACAATATTTTGTCTGCGTTTACGTCTGCAGGCCAGAAGAGGGCACCAGATCTCATTACAGATGGTTGTGAGCCACCATGTGGTTGCTGGGAATTGAACTCAGGACCTTTGGAAGAGCAGGCAATGCTCTTAACCACTGAGCCATCTCTCCAGCCCCGGGGAACCTGATCTTTAAACGCGGCCCTTGGTCGGCAGTCAATTAGACCATAACAAATGCTATTTTGAGTAGCAAGTGGAAGGGAGAGTAATTAAACCAAATACTGGATTTTTTTAAAAAGTAAATGGAATTGTGGGTGATAGTAAAATTCATATTCAAGATAATTAGCTTTTGCCAATTTCAGACTGGAATTAAAAAAAAAAACTAGCAGGCTTGTTTAACACAGACTGTAGCAAAGCTGTCTCCTTTCTGTAAGAGTTACAGAACTGTCTTGGGGTTCCCCTGTCTTTGCCTCCCACCCCCATCTTGCCTTGGGAGCACTGGGGTTGCGAACCTGTGCTACTGAGCCTTGAACTCACAGAATTTGGAGCCAGGTTCTCACACTTGTGTGGCAGGCACTTTACCCACTGAGCCATCGACCCAACAATTTTATGCTTTTTGTGTGAGTAATATCACATTGTTTTTGTTTTGCACGAGAAAGAATGTGGATTTGTAATTTTCTAATCCTGCTTTTACTCAATGAGACATTAGTCTTCAAAGGCTTATGAAATACTATGCCCTAATGTATAGTTACTTTATAAATGAAATGTCTTCTTCTAGTAGTAATGGGAAGCGCAGTCACTGACTGTTACGTTCTTGACCTATCAGGTGGGATTTAATAATTTTCTTAAGTACATAGATAGAAAACTGAGACACAGATGTTGAAGATGTACCCAAAGTTAAGTAGCTGTAGTAAGACCCTGATGCATAATTAAAACATGAGCAATTCGAATTCAGATTGTAGGGTCTGGATTGGCCCTCGACAAACCTGCAGCAAGGTCGTTGTCTCAAAGGTGACACGGGGTCCCATTTTAAGGGCGCAACAGTTTAGAGAATGTTTGTCTGTTGTTGAAGTGTTTGCTGTTTATAGCTTTTCAGTGATCTAAACATTTTTATGATAAACATCCCCTCTGTACGTTGTGACAAACTTGTTATTTTCTCAGGCAAATTCATATAAGAATTCTTGAGTCACCTTTAAAAGAAAAGTAAGTGTGTGTGTGTGTGTGTGTGTGTGTGTGTGTGTGTGTGTTGATAGCTAATGGAATAGCCCAGTGGTAGCATCTAGCATGAATGACAACCTGAGTTAAAGTCTTAACACTGAAATTGATGAATTGGACATTGAGTCTAATGTTTCAGTCCCTAATGTCTAGAACTTTAAACAACTTGGTTTTGAAATGAATTTATTATAAGAAAATAATCTTCAGGGCCGGGCGGTGGTGGCGCACGCCTTTAATCCCAGCACTCGGAAGGCAGAGGCAGGCGGATCTCTGTGAGTTCGAGACCAGCCTGGTCTACAGAGCTAGTTCCAGGACAGGCTCCAAAGCCACAGAGAAACCCTGTCTCGAAAAACCAAAAAAAAAAAAAAAAAGAAAAGAAAATAATCTTCAGGAAAGACACAAGCCCTTTTTTCCTTTTCTTTTTTTTTTAATTAATTTTTTTAAAATTTTTGTCTCAGAAGTAAATGAAGGGGGCTATTTTGTGAACAAGGTTTCCAACAGAAGGGAATCCCTTGGCAAGAGTATAAACAGCTTTGGCAGAAAGCCACCCTCCAAAGGAACAGGGCTCAGCTTGTCTCAAGCTAGTGAGTGAGGATGAGCTCAAGTCAGCAGGGATGTCCCCGGAACAGTGATGGCAAGGGGCTGTATGGGTGGAGACACTGCCTTACAGGGAGCTCCCACATTGAGACTCCTGGGGTCTGTCAGATGTATGACTGCTTCAAAGAGGTTACTATATTTTATACGAATCCACAATGTTCCCCTTATCTCTCATTACAAACACAATAATGACTAATAAATGCATAAGGTATTAATACTATGAGCTTGGGTTGTTTCCTTCCCCCTCTCCCTTTTCCCACAGTAAGTAAGTAAATGAGTAAACTCTGCATCTACAAAAGCACATCTGAGGGTGAGACCTCTTCAGGGCTACACATACAGAAAGCACGCTATGCTTGTTGTGTTCTGGGGTAGCTTTGGATGGGTTTGTATTCATATCGTTTATCTTGCCTTTTCAAAATGGAAATTTGTGTGTACATGTGTATGTATGCATGCGTATTAGACTTGTAATGCTGTTGTCTGTCAAGAATCTCCCTTTGTTTTTAGTATAAGCTTGGGGACTCAAAGTCAGATCCTTGAGCTTGCAAAGCGAACATGTTACTGAGACCTTCAGCCTTATAATGTCCTTTTTTATTTTCCTCTTTGAGACAAAACTTTGCCATGTGTTCTAACTGGTCTGATTCTGTATAGTTAGTTCATGCACACCTCCAATTTATGTCACTCGTCCTGCCTCAGTTGCTGGAGTACTGTGGTTCCAGGTGTATGTCACCATGCCTGGCTTTCAAAATGACCCTTTTAATTAAGAAAATTGCTATCTCTTTGATTGAATTTCTTGGAAGAATGGATAACAAGCCAGCCATCCCTTCCATGTGTAATTATGTGTGCATTGTGTGTAGCATTGTTGATTCAGTGTAGTTGGATGTGATACATATGAAGGATCAGTGAGATAGTAATAAAACTCAAGTGTCTATTTCCAGTTGCCCCTGAATGACTGGCAAGAGAAATAGTGGGTGGTATCACACACATGCACGTGTGCGCACACACACGCACGCATAGACACACACACACACACACACACAGAAATATTGATCTGGCCGGGCGATGGTGGCACACGCCTTTAATCCCAACACTCGGGAGGCAGAGGCAGGCGGATCTCTGTGAGTTCGAGACCAGCCTGGTCTACAGAGCTAGTTCCAGGACAGGCTCCAAAGCCACAGAGAAACCCTGTCTCGAAAAACCAAAAAAAGAAATATTGATCTACACCATAGCAAAACTTCCTCCTTATCTAGTCAGTAAAACTCTGAGTATTTACTGTTGCCTGACATTTTTTATCTGTTATGTGTGTTTATCTAAATCCATTCCTCCTTGCTAAAAGCCTGTGGTCCCTCCCCATAAGTCCCTCATACACTTAGGGACTTCTGCTACACAACAACTTTGGACCTTTCTTTTTTTTTTTTTTTTCAAATTTTTTTTACTTTTTCTGTATACAATATTCTGTCTCTGTGTATGCCAGCCGGCCAGAAGAGGGCACCAGACCTCATTACAGATGGTTGTGAGCCACCATGTGGTTGCCGGGAATTGAACTCAGGACCTTTGGAAGAGCAGGCAATGCTCTTAACCGCTGAGCCATCACTCCAGCCCCTGGACCATTCTCTTATTAAAACCCAAATCCATTATTTCCTTCCTTGATGACCCTGTTAGAACAGAATTATATTTGTAATAACCTTTTAAATTATAAAGTACATAAACCCAGAGATGGAAATTTTAAAGGAAGAAAACTATATATCATGATCATTTCCTGTGTTGCTACAAACTTATCAACACTGTGGTGGCTAGGTATTACTCCACTGTGGGCTTAAATCTCTTCACAGGGGGCTGGAGAGATGGCTCAGTGGTTAAGAGCATTGCATGCTCTTCCAAAGGTCCTGAGTTCAATTCCCGACAACCACATGGTGGTCACAACCATCTGTAATGAGGTCTGGCGCCCTCTTCTGGCCTGCAGACATATACGCAGACAGAATATTGTATACATAATAAACAAATAAATATTTTTTAAAAAAAAATCTCTTCACAGTTGCTTGTCTATCGCTCTGAAGACAGTGGGGCTGGAAGAATGGAGCCTAAAAGTGAAGCAGGCTAACGTCTCATGCAATAGCCAGCTCTATTCAGAGCATCAGACAATTTACACTCAGAGCGTTAAGAAAGGTCACATGAGCAGAGTTCTCATGAGGTCAAGGTGAATACAATCACAAAAAGAAGCCACATGTGGGTTTTTATTTCATCGAGGCAGTATGAATTAACAACAGCTGAAATAAGCTCGCGCCTATCCAGCACACCTGGAAGGAGCATGAGAACACAGTTGGAGAAGCTGAGGTCACAAGATTCTTGTCTTGTGTTCTGGAGGTTTTCTCACAAGCACAAAGAATTCTCCTCACAGAAGTTCGTTTTTTGGACCGATTTCTGGCCAGTGACCAAATTATTTGTGTGTTTGAATTTATCACATGCACACTGAGGGTACTCACATTTTGTCATTCATTTTCATTGATCATATTTCGGTCATTGTTATTTTAAGGCTATGTGCTGTCATTATGACTGATAGACTATAGTTTATTTTTCAAAAGTCAGTTTGTATCATTTCACATAGAGTCATTCCGATGTTTTAATTAAGAACACGCACCTTAGAACTAAGTGCAGAAAAGGTCGGTGTCACACATTAGTGCATCTGTTTTGACAAAGTCGTCATGTTCTTTCTTATTACATTTAATGTGGTGAGCCCTCCAGAATGCCACCACGAAACCATGAGACTAGTGCTCAGAGTGTCCACTGTGCACACTCGAGTCGTGTACTAAGCTGCTGGGACATTCACTGGGTTCAGTTTCCTTTAAGGTCCTGCGTGTCAGCTCCTCATGTCTTTGCCTTTTCATTTCAGACAATTCCTCCTCCCTCCAGGAAGATGAAGAAGTAGAGATGGAAGCTATCAGCTGGCAGGCCGGCAGTCCAGCCATGAATGGGCACCCTGCCGTCCCACCAGTGACCACTGCCCGTTTCCCCAGCTGGGTCACTTTTGATGACAATGAAGTCAGCTGCCCTTTGCCACCGGCCACCTCTCCTGCAAAACCAAATACACCATCGGTTGCAACTCCCACCCCAGATGCATCTTACAACCCAACTGGGTCATTTAAGAGGGACCGTCCCAAGAGCACACTGATGAACTTCTCCAAAGTTCAGAAGCTGGACATTTCTTCCTTAAACCGTCCGCCTTCCGTAATCGAGGCACCTCCCTGGAGGGCCACCAATCCTTTTCTGAATGAGACGCTGCAGGATGTACAGCCCTCCCCTATCAACCCGTTTAGTGCTTTCTTTGAAGAGCAAGAGCGGCGCTCCCAACGCAGTTCTGTTTCCACGGGCAAAAGCCAAAGAGATTCTCTCATTGTCATCTACCAGGAAACCATCAGTTTTGACGATTCGGGCAAAAGCCAGTCCCACCCCGATGCTATTGAAAAGCTCAAACAGCTCCAAATTGATGACCCCGATCAGGTCGGCCCTGCTGCCTTGCCTGATGACGACCCCATAGCCTGGGTTGAACTAGATGCTCACTCACCTGCCTCAGCTCTGTCTCAACCCAGGGATGGATGGCCGATGATGCTACGAATCCCCGAGAAGAAAAACATCATGTCCTCTAGGCACTGGGGACCAATCTACATCAAACTGACAGACAGCGGCTACCTGCAGCTGTATTACGAGCAGGGCCTGGAAAAACCATTCCGTGAATTCAAGCTGGAGATCTGCCATGAGGTTTCCGAACCCCGGCTCCAAAACTATGATGAGAACGGGAGGATCCACAGCTTGAGGATAGACCGCGTCACTTACAAAGAGAAGAAGAAATACCAGCCCAAACCGGCTGTGGCCCACACAGCCGAGAGGGAGCAGGTGATTAAACTGGGTACCACCAATTATGATGATTTCCTGAGCTTCATCCATGCGGTTCAGGACTGTCTCATGGATTTACCGGTGCTCTCCATGGACTTGAGCACGGTTGGCTTAAACTACCTCGAAGAGGAGATTACTGTGGATGTGAGAGACGAATTCTCTGGCACCGTAAGCAAGGGAGAAAACCAGATCCTCCAGCACCGTGTCTTGACCCGGATCCACGTCCTGAGTTTCCTGTCTGGGCTCGCTGAGTGCCGCCTGGGCCTCAATGACATCCTTATCAAAGGAAACGAAATCGTTTCCCGTCAGGACATCATGCCCACCACCACCACAAAGTGGATCAAGCTCCACGAGTGCCGGTTCCACGGGTGTGTGGATGAGGACGTGTTTACCAGTTCCCGGGTTATTCTTTTCAACCCTTTGGATGCGTGCCGGTTTGAGCTAATGAGGTTTAGGACAGTATTTGCCGAGAAGACCTTGCCCTTCACGCTCAGGACGGCAGCGAGCATCAACGGGGCAGAGGTAGAGGTGCAGAGCTGGCTGAGGATGTCGCCTGGCTTCTCATCCAACCGTGACCCCCTCACTCAGGTTCCCTGTGAGAACGTGATGGTTCGCTACCCAGTGCCCAGCGAATGGGTGAAAAACTTCCGCAGGGAAAGTGTTCTAGGGGAAAAGTCTTTGAAAGCCAAAGTGAACCGGGGGGCAAGTTTTGGCTCGGCTGGTGTCTCTGGCTCTGAGCCTGTCATGAGAGTAACTCTGGGAACTGCCAAGTATGAGCACGCCTTCAATGCCATTGTGTGGAGGATAAACCGGCTGCCAGATAAGAACTCAGGTAGGTAGGGATTCTCTGGAGACAGCCGCTGAGACAGCTGAAAACTGTAGCCTATACCTTCTATAGCCATAGCTATCTGTGTAGCATCTGATTACATTGTGTGGTGGAAATGGGGGGAACAGGGAGGGGAGACGAGGAGACTAAAAAAATCTGCATGTGGTAGCAACCACGATGAACCAGTATTTGCATAAGATGTATTACACTGCTCAGCTGAGCAGCTAAACAGCTTTCCGGGGCATCTTCTGAATTGTGTATGTATGCATGAGTATGTGTGTGTGCAAATGCATGTGTGCGTGTATGCATGTATGTATAGAAACCAGAGAAAGTCATCAGATGACATTGTTGTTAGGGTCTCACTGGCCTGGAACTCAATCTGCCAGGTCAGCTAGGTTGACTGACCAGCGAGCCCAAGTGATCCATCTATCTTTATTTCCCCAGCTATGGTTTATTTTGTTGTTGGTTTATTTTACTATCGTGTATATGCGTGTTTGGGCTACATACATGTCTGTGTGCCATGTGTACACATTGCAGAGGTCAGAAGAAGCTTTCAGATCCCATGAAACTGAAGTTCCAGTGGGTTGTGACTTAGCATGTGCGTGGTGGGACTAGAACCCAGGTTCTCTGTAAGAACAGCCGGTGCCCTTAACCTCTGAGCCATCTCTCCAGCCCGTTCCCAGTTTGGGGATCATATACATGCACCACCACACCTGGCTCTTTTATATTAGTTCCTAGGATCGAATTATATTTTATATTTATAGGTCCTTAATATTAGCATTTTACTTATTGAACCGTCTCTCCAGCACCTTGAAGGTTTGTTGAACTCGTTATTAGGTGTGGTACTAAAAACCATTTATTCCCTGATCCTGAAAGTCTTGTGGGGTCTGAAGAGGAACTCTATCTCCTTAATGAGGGTGAAAGAGCCAATTGATATCCAACCACACACAGTACGTAGGAGAAGCGAGCCTCTGCAACTAGCTGTGGTCAGTCATAATATCTCAGACCCAGAGTCTGGCTTTGGGATTCTTGATGGAAAAGAGACTAAATATCCAGGATATCAAGGTCCAAGGGGCCAGAGTTCCACCAGACAGAAAATAAAGAAGGGAGTGTTGGATTTAAACAAACTTTCCAGCCTAGCTGCCCTGCTCCCAGCCAGGGGCTGTGCTGCTGTGTGTACAAGAGCCCAGAAGGCAGCTGCTAGCGAGACTTCGGGAGTGACAGAACAAGGCAGCTACAACCAGCTGTAATGGCTTTATTTTCTGAATTGCGTCTAAGTGACCTCAGTGGCCCGTGAAGAGCCTGTGATCCCACAAGCCTTTAAACCACTTCTCCTCTTGTCTGTAATAAACCATGCCCATCTGTTAAGGAAAAGTGGAAGGCAAAAAGAAGAAAGGAAGAAAAAAAAATACTGGCTTGAAATCCTGGTCAAAGCGCCTTGCCCCTGCTGGCTCACATTCCCACTCTTGAATCATTACCGTGTATTCAGGGTGTTCTGCCGCCAGTGTGGACTGGCTGCATTATCATATCTAAAACGGAATTCGATGAGATAGCAAGAGGCCACGCAGTCTAATCAAGTCCTGAGGCTGCCCGGGGAGTAGGCAAACACCGGGCATTCTGTGTCTGCCACTGGCTATAGCAGTGCCAGCCAGAGACAATCATACCTCTGTGCTGGGGGCCGGGGCAGCTTCACTCTGCTACTGCACTGACAGGATTTGGAAAACAGGCTTCGTCCCGCGCCTGCTCACTCATTGCTCAGGCCTGCATTCTCCCTGTGCTCCTGTGCTGGCTGCCTCAGTCGGCCATCAGGGCCCACCTCACTCCACAGTGGAAATGAGTGTTAGGAATTTTTCCTAGAGAGGTGTGGCTGGAAAGGCATCTCGTGTACTGTCGATGAGAAGCCCTGTGTTCTCTCTCCTTTGGCAGGGAAGCCCTGGGGAAGAGAAAGCTGTGAAAGGACTGGGCCTTCAAGCTGGGCCTTAGATGAGAGAGTAAAATCTGAGAGATGACACTACTCACCTGAAGTCACGGAAATGCACACAGGGTTCTCTTCTCAATACCACAGGTCCCCTTATAGATGAAGCCAAATAGGTGCATGCCTCAAATCATGTCCACCATGGGAACAAAACTTTGTAGTTTCTTAAGGTAATTTAAAGTATTTACAAGTGCTGCGTGAAGGATTATAGTTATAAGCAACAAGGGCCAACCTTAAATGGGAATGGCGGGGGAGGGGGTATGGGTAGCTCTCTGAACTGAGGAAAGGTTAAACAACACACGTCAGAAAAGAGAGCTCTGGATCAGCACTAGTCACAGAAACTGAGAGTTGTCTCGGTACAGCCATGGAGACAAATTTTTATCATCATTTTTGGTCCTTGGGCCACTTGGCTCAAGTTGAAAAGTGACCAGAGCAATCAAGATGCAGAGACCATGGCAGAGTGCTGCTTACTGGCTTGCTCCTCGTGTCTTGCTTAATCTGCTTTCTTGTAGAGCCCAGGACCACCAGCCTAGGGATGGCACCACCCACAATGAGCTGGGCCCTCCCACATCCATCACTAAGTAAGAAAATGCCCTGTAGGCTTGCCTACAACCCAGTCTTATGGAAGTGTTTTTTCTCTGTTGAGGCTCCTTCTCTGATGACTCCAGCTGGTTGTCATAAAACTAACCAGTACAGCTGGCAAGGATTGCCCAGCTTCTGCCTTCCTCATCACAAAACCAAAGAGCTGGTGATGACCTACTGATTCCAACCCATTTTCTGAGTTGTTTATAAGGTATCACCCGTAACAAATTGCCTTTTTTTTACTTTTTTAAGGTTTATTTATTAATTATGTATTCAGTAGTCTGTCTGCATGTATGCTACAGGCCAGAAGAGGACACCAGATCTCATTACAGATGGTTGTGAGCCACCATGTAGTTGCTGGGAATTGAACTCAGCACCTCTGGAAGAGCAGTCAGTGCTCTTAACCTCTGAGCCATCTCTCCAGCCCCCCCCCCTTTTTTTTTGAGGTGGGGACTGGTTTTTTGTTTTTGTTTTTTTGAGACAGGGTTTCTGTGTAGGCTTGACTATCCTGGAACTCATTTTGTAGACCAGGCTGATCTCAAACCCACAGAAATCTGCTGGCCTCTGCCTCTTAAGTGCTGGAATTAAAGGTGTGTACCACCATAGCCGAGCTGGTAAATTGCTTTTTACAGATTGTTTTTTCATAAGTACAACCTCCATTACCGTGAAAAGTGTCTGATCCGAGCAAATGTCCAAAGCCAAGCCTCTCTGTATACACTGTCCCCTGGTCATACATGGGAATGTGAATGGCCCACAGAACACACTAAGAGATGAAACATTCAGTCCTGCACAAGAACCTTTTTTTTAGCTGGTTCTTACTGGTCTAGGTAAAGAGAAAACATACCCAATGTGATGGCCCTTTTTTGGAAATAATATGAATCTTAATGCTGAATTTCATCAGGAAAGACAAGTTAACATACACACACACATATTTGGATATATTTGGCTTTTCAAGACAGGGTTTCTCTGTGTAACAGCCCTAGCAGTCTTGGAACTAACTCTGTAAACCAGACTGGCCTTGAACTCACAGAGATCCGCTTGCTTCAGCCTTCTGAGTGCTGGCTTAAAGGCGCACGCCACCACCACCTGACTCCCCTTATGCATTCAGTAGCTGAGACTAGGAAACCAGGACAAGACGTGGCTTGCAGAGTTTTCCTGTCTCACTCACGCTTAGAGACAAGCTGAGGAGTAATTTCTCTGTATCCCAGCAATGTCAACTAAAGCTAATTAGAGCAAAACAATTGTTTCAAGTTGCCTTTTGAGATGAGAGGCCTTCTGCACGGTAGTGAGCAAATCCGTAACAGCGTGCCAAGTATTTAGAACCTGGTTTGCAAGTCAGCGAGGTCTGAAAATTTTATTCTCAGCTACACTGCTTAATGGTGGTGTGACCTCAGGCCATTTATTTAACCCTTTTAGAGAAATCTATTTCTTCTCATCTACGAAGTAGGATTATTGATACCCAGCTCGTTCAGAATAAGTTGGATGGTGCTTTTCAGTGTGAAGCCGAATATTAGTGGTGCTGATACGTGATGGCTCTGAAATTGGTCTGCGGCACAGGGGGATAGAACGAACAGATTCATCGCAGACACCATTGTGTTTTCTTATTATTATGTGTATCTTATTTCAGTTTATTTCCTAAAAACCAGTGTGAAATTTTCAGTTGAATTTCCTAGCCTTACTGTTTAGAAATAACCCTCCAAGTATTTTACGTTCGTGAGACAGAGAAAAACAAATACTTCACTCTGTAGCGCGCTCCTTGGAGAGAGGGTGTGTCTCCCCCGACTTCCGAGATTGAAAAATCCTGCCCGGAGCAATAAAGAAAATTGAAGTTATTTATTTGGAGAAGCAGGGAGGAGTCAGACAATTCCATCAGAGCCCTGTCACGCAGTTCGTCTGTAGCCCCTCGCTGTTCTCCATCTCTGGGCTGTTGTCCCACAGTCTGACCTTCGTGTTTGGGGACCATGAGTTGTGACTCAGACAAAGGGGTGACAGCCCACAGTCAGAGGTAGCTCCGCCAATTTCTAGTATGACCTGTGACAGCTGACTTTGTCTCCAGAGACCTCAGTGACCTTAAGGCGGTGGTTCTCAACCTTCCTAATGCTGTGATCTTTTAATATAGTTCCTCATGTTGTGGTGATTGCCAACCATAAAATTATTTCATTCCTACATCATAACTGTACTGTTATAAACCGTACTGTAAATATCTGAGATGCAGGATATCTGATATGTGACTCCCCCCCCCCCAAAGGGGTCGTGACCCACAGGTTGAGAACTGCTGCTGCTCTGAGGACTTGTGATGAGCTTCAGCCAGTAGGTCTGTGTGGAGAATCTAGCACAGGGCACCCAGCCATCCCCACTGAATGAAGGACAGTGATGTTCAGATGTCATAGTCGCACAACTAAACTCTTTTCCCCTCAAATCTAGCTTGTCAAGTGAAAAGTTGATCCTAATTTTACCTGTAAGTACAGTCAACCGTACACACAGAGTCAGCCACGGCTCTTTAATTCTGCGTTTATTGTACAGCCCTTTTTTCGTGCCCCTCCTGACCACTCCACTTTCCAGATGAGGAGTTCAGGTCAGAAGAGAACAAAGGACTTTTCCGCTTGGAGAACTGCAAGCCGACCAAGGCGTTATGACTACAGATCAGACCGTCTGTCCTTTGCACTGTATTCCCCGATGTCATGTGCGCTTCTGGAAGTCTGTCACTTTCATATGTCATCCACCCACAGAAACATGCCTGAGGCGTCTCTGAAAATAGAAAATGCTATTAAGAAAATTGATCTTGTAAAGGAAAGCGGTTTGCTCCAGGTGGCCGTCACTGTTGCTGTATTAGGTGCCAAGTGCTACTCAATCTCTTCTCTCCGTTCTTCCACTTCTAAGCACCCCTTCCTTAGTGTTTGTGCTGTGTCTACATAGCTCTTTGACCTAAACAGGCACAAGGGCCCCAGTTTCTCAGATGTGGGGTTTTGTTTTCGTTTGCAAATGGTGTTTAGTCACTTTGATATCTATTCTGTGTGCACTGATGTTTTCTCTGCCTGTATGTCTGTGTGAGGGGTGTCAGATCCCCTGGAACAAGAGTTACAGTCAGTTGTGAACTGCCTTGTGGGCGCTGAGGATCAAACCCAGGTCCTCTGGAAGAGCAGCCGGTGCTCTTAAGCACTGAGCTATCTCTAGCGTGTAATCAAGAGGCACACAGAGCCTGACGTCTGCATACAGAAGCCCCCTTGCTCAGCATTGGACCCCCCGAAAGTGCCAGGTGCACAGCCTGCAGACTGCTGTTATTATCAAAGTAGCTCTCTGGCTTCTTGTCCTTTTTAATTTCATCCTCAAAGTACTTGACTTCTGATTTCTTTTTTTTTTTTTTTTTTTTTTTTTTTTCTGTTATAGCTTCTGGTCACCCACACTGTTTCTTTTGCCACCTCGAACTTGGCTCTGACCGGGAAGTGCCTTCCAGATTTGCCAATTATGTAAATGTCGACTTCAGCATGCCCACGACTTCTGCCTCCAAAGCAGCTGTGAGGTCCATCTCTGTGGAAGACAAGCCTGGTGTCAGGAAGTGGGTCAATTACTCTGCCCACTACAGCTACAAGGTAGCCTCAGGGGGCTCTGGGCTGATGTTTCCCCAAGTCCATTTGTTCGTTCAACCCCTCCCCCTCTTCCTTTCGGCAAATTCTTCTCATATCAAGGAACTTTACACTCATAGCTGTGGATAAATCAGCTCCGACTTTAATGAAATAATCTCTCCTGGGTAAGAGAAAGGTTTGGAGAAAAAAGAATTAAGGGGCTGATGACGGAAATGAAGAATATAATGTCTGACACCATGAATGATAACAAAAAGAACAGAGGGACCAAGCAATAATTGTTACTCACCTGTGACATAATTTGGGTTTTGGAAATGGAGGGGAGCACTGAGAACGTGATAAGCTGAAGCAAGTATTTCATCTGTGGGAATTGTGTATCAGAACACAACAGAGGCACTCAGAGGGCAGTGAGAGTGTAAAACTTAAAAGCCAAACCCTTTACTTTGATAACAGGATTGAAGCTGTGGGAGAAGTCTGCGGTCAGCGCTGGAGAACTGGTTTTCTGGTGGGGGGTGGAGTGGGAGACAGGGTCCCCTCTGTAGCTCAGTCTGGTTCAAATTCTGTTGTCTTGCCTCTGAGTGCTCAGATTATAGGTAGATGACTGCAAAAGCAAGGACTTTTGGCACAAAGAGGTAGACTTGGGTAGACGACTGACTTCCAGAGACGGAAGGGAAAGAGGCATTATTAAGACTTTGCAAAGATATTTGGCAATTTCCTATGTATAATGATTTTCACAGATTTATATAATTTGCTATTCCTTTAAATATTCTTAGTTGTATCACTTAAGCCTTTTAACAACCAAAAAGAACAAATGCCCCCTCTTGTGGCCAGGAAAAAAGCTAGCACTCCCCGCCCCCAACCATGGACTGTAATCTGTCTTCAATTGTTGCCTCCAAGTGGAGAAGTCTAATATCCAGGGTAGGGCTGAGAGGCAGTCGGAATGAGGATGAGATTCCTCAGTTCAAACCTATCAGGGGCTTTAGTTAAGGCCTATTACACTTTAAAAAGATTTATTGATTTATTTGATGTGTGTGGGTGCTTTGTCTACATGCACGTCTGTGCACCCCATGCTTGTAGCACCTGAGAAGAACCTGGAATTGGAGTCACAGACAGTGGAGAGGCATGTAGGTGCTGAGAAGTGAACCCAGGCCCTCCGGAAGAGCAGCCAGTATTGTTAACCACTGAGCTGTCTCTCTAGTGCAAGCCGTGTTACTTTGAAAGGGCAACTTCTTGGCAGTATTTAGCAGAAGATAGGCTAGACTAGGAAATGCTCCGATACTTATTAGCCTAGCGTCTTAAATGAAGTAGCTGGAGAGACGGTAAACTCCGTATTGCCTATTGGTTTCCTCACCTTGGATAAAATGAGCTAGCTCTTGCTCCTGTCCCATGCATGGGGCCTATGGAATAGTGGAGCCGGGGATACCAGAACTGTTCAGAGGGAACTCGGTCACCCCACTGGATGAGGAGCAATCCTGCAAGACAAAGAATAAGAATCTCCCCAGAAGGACCACGAAGAGGGCGTCATGACATATGCAGGATTAGTGGTTCCATTAGGGCAGCAGCCCAGAACTTCCACAAAATAACCTTCTGAGGTTCTTTGGGCTCATTCATTTTCATGCTTTTCCTCTCCCTCCCTCTCATTCCTGATGTTTTCACCATTTTTTTTTCAGGTGGAAATTGAACAAAAAAAGAGTTTGAAGCCAGACTTTGAGGGAGAGGAGTTGGACAACCCGAAGGAATGTGGGGTACAGTGACAGAGGCCTACTGTGTAAGGACCTGAGGAATGCTGACTCCCGAGCGGTGTCTTCCTGAATATGTTAAGTCAACACCTGCTGTGGCTGCTTCCTGTGTGCAGTCACCTGTGTGTGACAGGAAATCCTGAGAGGGGGTCACTTTCAATAGTCTCCTTGACGCTGAGCATGCCTGAAGCACGGGGTGCACCCGGCTTTTGGAGTGTATTGTATATTGAGCCTCCTTGTCTCTTTTCTGCTTATATCATGACACTGGGGTGTGGTTTATGGTGACGATTAGAGACCTGAAGAGAACGTCCAACGTCAGTCTTGGCACAGTTTGCTCCTGGTATCCATCTGTCCCTTGTAGGTTTCTGGAAAAAGCAGTCTGGAAAGTTAAATCAAGAATCCATCTCCAGGGGTCCCTCTATAAAAAAGTGAGAAGACTTTCAAAACCATTTCTCCTTTGGGTCTACTAGGCCTTTTCTAGAAATCTCCATTCTTTAAATGCTGATTTTACTCCACAGAAGTTTTCCAGATGTTTCCTTTCTATTCTGGATTGTTCAAGATCAAAATGTTTTTTTTTTCAACTCCTACTTTCCCATTTGCTATCCTGAGTCATGATACCCAGTGGGAGAGGTCAATCAGATTTTTTTTTTTTTCAAATTCAGGGGTTGGAGCTTAATTCTACAAATGGCCTGGATTGTATCCACGGTCTGTTGAAAAGAACGGAAAGCTGAACTATTTTTTCTCCACTTGAAGGAAAGGGGACATTATGTGTAATTATATTCAGTTCAAAGACAGGTGCAGTCATAATGAATTGTCAGGGTCTCACCGATCACCTCTAATTCCTGAAATACAGGCATGGCTATGGGAGAGGCCTGTGAGAAAGACACTTGGGAGTTCTTTTTATACCTCATAGGCAGTGACTGTTACATGTCCCTTTAACTCGAAATTTAGAGAAAACTTAAAGAGTAAAAGCTCAATTGGAATGAGCTTTGCCTCAAAGAACAAGGTTGGTGGTCAGCGTTCTGAAAGTACCAAGAGGCAGAAGCCTCCGGGGTGGGGCTGGAGAAAGCCGGATTCCTGGTGTTGTGAACATGAAAACCTGTTTCTGAGAACCAGAACTTCCCTTTCTGTCCCATGTTCCCAGCCCACCCACTGTTCCCTGTCCCTGCTTTTTTGTACCTTGGTGTTTTCTCTCCTGAAGGATAAAGTGAGGAGACAGAATGCATATTTTATCAGGCTGGGGACATATAAGGAAATATAAAATACCTGCAGTTTGGGACTGACTGATTCAAGATTTATATATTGAGCTCATATTCAGTGAGGTCGATCTATGTACTGGCCTTAGACATTAGAAATCATTGCAGTGTTTTAAACTGTGTTGTTTTGTTTTGTTTTCAAGACAGGGTTTCTCTGTGTAGCCTTGGCTGTCCTAGAATTCTCTCTGTAGACCAGATTGGCTTTGAACTCAGAGATTCATCTGCCTGTCTCCAGAGTGCAGGGATTAAAGGCGTGTGCCACCACCTTCCCCAGCTTGAACTATGTTTTTAACTATCTAAGCATTAGATTGAAATGAAAAGGACAAGCTGCATAAGCATAAACCTGTATTTTGAGTTTTTAAAATGCCACCCTTTCAGTTAGAAGTGTGTGTGTGTTCGTAGAACCCAGGAGGCTGGGTTTTATAGCAGTTCATATAGAAATGTTTTCTTAAGGAAATGAGAGGTTGGTTTTGAACCAGCTATTCACAAAGCTAATGCATTCCATCTGTGATGGTAGGGGTTTAAACAACTCTGTGTGGTGCATTCGCCCACACATGCCTGAATGGATGCATTAATAGGTTGAATGTGTCCACAGGCAGGTAAGCAAAGTTGTGAAGATGGTGACTCTATAAGGACCGGGGGAGGGGGTGGGAGTGTCCTCAGGAACAGAGGGTATAGCTGCGAACGGAGGACAGTTTGGAAATGATGTAACGGCTGCCACAAAATTTCAACTAAACTATAAAAAGTAAGAGGAGTTAGATTTGCTTTGCATAGCTTCAGAGGCAAACAGAATAGAAACCGGAGAGAACTTTACAGATGACAGATGTTTGCTCAAGATAAGCATCTTCTAGTAAGGAGTGCTCTAAAGAAGAAAAAGATGTCCTGCTGTAGCAGATGCCCATGGGTTAACTGAGCCACGCCTATCCCAGGTGCTGTGAATGGGACTGTCATGTTGGTTTGGGGCAGGATGACAGGAAAGCTCTTTTCCAAATAGTCTCGATAGGAATGAGACGCTCCAGCTGGAGACAGCCTTTCTCTGTTTTCGTCCTGTGGGAGGACAGTGGGATCCTCAAAAAGAACTTGGTCAAAGAATCCCATGTCATTTCTGCTGTTAAGCCAAAGGCCTTCAAGAGTTCTCAGATACCCAAGTGCTTGAAGCATGGGCAAGAAGGTCATCCCTAGCCCGGCGCTGTCAAGGGCCCTGTCTCTGAGGTAGCATAGAGTGCACAGTACCTGTGCTGTCTAATCTCCTACCCCCTCGGTTAATTCTTCTTGCTTTGGTGCTTCTCCTGGACTGTTTAGAATTTCGTTGTTTCACCATTAATCAAACATTGGTTGAAAAAAAAATATTCCCCTCTGTGCTATTTGTATCTAGTAAGCAAATTAGCTAATCTTTAAAAATCTACTACCTTGGTCACCAGATTTGTTTTGCCTCCACTGTGCTTAGGGTCATTCTGGATAACAGTGTAGGGAGCTGAGGAGTATAATAAGATGTATTTGATGACTTATGAATAACCTATATGAAAATCATAGTTAGGCAGATTGCCCTTTTGATATACAAAATGTGTGCTTGCCGTTTGGGTCCTCGGTTATTTTTCCTGTGGCCACACACACACACACACACACACACACACACACACAAATCCTAGTCTGTGTTCTCAATCATGAAAAAGTGTAAAAAGAGGATGGATTTTACCAATGCAGTTCGAACACGCTTGGGGTCACATGGTTTCAAAAACTTTATTATTGAGTCAAGAGCTTGTTTTTCAACTTTACAGTCAAACAGGACAAAAAAGATACTCATTCTACTATGTCAAACAAGGGGACTGGCTGTGTAGCTCAGTGGTAGAGAACTTGTCTAGCAAGCACAAGACCCCAGGTTCAACCCCCAGTACCAAATAAGCAAGCAACGAAAAGAGTGGGAGGGATCTTGAAGACAGACCCCCGACACCTCTCTTGTAGACGTAGTGCTGGTTAGTTTTTCAGAAGCCAGCCCTTTGATCCTTGTTGTTTTGTTTCCTGGTTGCCTCCCCACCTCACTACCTTCCCACATTTCTTCCAGGCTTGTCCTCAAGATTATTCCTTCATTCAAAAGAGTCCTTCTTTGAAATGAGACTAATTTCTGTGCAGAAACCTGGCTGGGATCAGGAATGTATGTCCCTAGAAGGTCTCCTCCTGAGGAGTGTGCTACATGAAGACAAATTATTGTGGTTATTACTGAACCACTCTCCTTGTGATTTAAAGGCTTGCCACAGAGTGTGAGCCCAGCCCCCTTAACTCCTGTCAAATACACTCATTAAATGAGTGGAAATTATCAGCGCTTTGGCTCTGAGACCGCTTATCCTTTGCTTAGTTAGCATCCGGTCCTCACGTTACAGCTAACAAGCAGGCAGCACTCATTTTCCAGAGGACTTAAACACTTCTATTTTGCTTTTGTTCCTGCCACCAGTGTCAACCAAGCGTCAGGACAGAGGCACTTCCTGAGTGGCTGACGCTGACCCACACCAGACCTTATTCATATTGAGAAACATTTTTGCGCTCAGAGATGGAGGGGCGCAGGTGTTGGCCACAGTTAGGCTATCGATCCAGTTTTATTGCTGCCAGTCCCACAGACCTGTGAGCCCTGCCTGGCCTTGCCCACAAGAGTAAGTAGTGGAAGATGCAAGAGTCTGATGGAGCACACAGCCAGTCCTGCTCTGTCAGGTCTTTGTCTTCCCACATTGACCAGTGCTACTGTGCACACCACATCCCCACATGGGATGGGGATCTGAGATGGGAAGGCTGAGGCTCACCAGGTGAAATCATGATTTCAAAATTTCTACTTTAAGCGGGGCGGTGGTGGCGCACGCCTTTAATCCCAGCACTCGGGAGGCAGAGGCAGGCGGATCTCTGTGAGTTTGAGACCAGCCTGGTCTACAAGAGCTAGTTCCAGGACAGGCTCCAAAACCACAGAGAAACCCTGTCTCAAAAAACCAAAAAAAAAAAAAAAAAAAAGTCTACTTTATAATCAGTTTAGGGGGAGAGAGAGAGAGAGAGAGAGAGAGAGAGAGAGATTGAGCTGATCTTTTTCTATTTTTCCTTAAAAGTTCAAGGAATTAATTGTTATGAGTTGGAAGCGATACCATCCAACCTACTTGTATAATTTCTTCTGGTAAAAACTGGTATTTTTTTAAAAAGTGTTTCAGGATAGGTTTTCCCTGTGTAGCTCTGGCTGTCCTGGAACTCACTCTGTAGACCAGGCCTGCCTTGAACTCAGAGAGCCAACTGCCTCTGCCTCCTGAGTGCTGGGATTAAAGACGTGTGCCACCACCACAAAGTTAATTCTTCTAAAAATGGTTGATTTAAATTAATCAATCCTAGCTTGTCTGAAGTTGAGGTTATGATTGGATTAGACTTTGATAGAGAATTCATGAACAGAGCTAACAAAAATTAAAAATATGCCATCTAGTAAATGAATCTTGTATTAACATTTCTACCAAGCTGTGATAGCATTTTCTATAGAATTAGTCAATGTATTCTCACCATGATTCTAATTGATGTTTTCTAAACATGACCAGTGTCAATTTACCAGTTCCCTACACATGACCATGTTTTATTTATGCTCTTGTAAATGAGATTGGTTTTGGATATTATCATTTATAACTGAAGGAAATACAGAAAGCAGTCTTAAGAGTAGGAACAAATGCATGTATTAGTAATAGTCCCATGGTCACTCAAGTAAGAACATGGAAGCTTTATTTTTCTTCTAGTGTGCCTTAGACAATTTGCCAATGAAAGTCAGTCTTATGCGGGAGAATTGTCTGTATTCTGTCAATCATGTTTTAAATAAATGCTGATTGGCCAGGCAGGAAGTATAGGTGGGAAAACCAGAAAGGAAATAGAAATGAGGTAATGAGAACAGGAGAATTCTGGGAAGGAGGAAGTTGATTCCTTCCACTCCTGCCCAGACCACTGAAGCAACAGGATGTGATCTGCCCCACTGAAAAAAGGTACTGAGCCACATGGCTAACATAGATCAGAAAAATGGGTTAATCAAGATGTGAGAGTTAGCCAATGAGAGGCTAGAGCTAATGGGCCAATCAGCTTTATAACTTACAGAGATCTTTGTGTGATTTTCTTTGGGCCTAAACAGCTGGGGGTACCGGGAAGGACAGAAACCCCAACAAACAAGCAGGTCTAGCCCTTCTTGTTACAGTCTTATACTTTAAGAATTGAAAGAGGGACTATGTGTGTGTGTGTGTGTGTGTGTATACATGTGTGTATGTGTATACATATATTTCACCCTTTCAGTTCTTAAAGTATGTGTATTGCAATTCCAAGCCCACAAAGGTAAGAAAGTTTCTATAGTACTATGTTCTGCAGAACCTGGAGCAATGCAAATAAAAGCTAGATGTAATGAAAAGCTACTAAAGAACAAACTAAAGAAAATAATAGTGAAAAGAGTTGAAGGATTTATAGCATTGGCCACCCAAGATTCAATGTAACCTGAACTGGAGGTCGTCTCTTAAAGTAAGAAGCTGTGGGAAAGAGGGGTGCCTAGCAGGACTAGACAGCAGAGCTCTTCAGCTCAGCTCAGCTTGCATCGAGTGCCCTGGCTAAGGGACTCCTTGAAGGGAGGAGAGGCTGTCCAATAGGATGCTAAGGATCGTTGTTGGTAGCCATGCGGGGATGACTTTGTGAAGGGGAAGTTGCATTAGCATGAGGACAATCACTATTGCTAACTCACCTGTTGTTTCCCCAGCTTGATGTCAGTTTCCAGAGACAAAAGAGAGAGAGGGCTGGACTTTCACTTCTTGGGTTATTTTTTTTTTCCCAGCTGTGGTTTTATGGGTTGTTTCACAAAATGTCCTTTCTTGCCACGTTTTGTTGATATTCCTTGTCTCTGAGGTTCTTTATCCATGCTTACGAACCAAGACGTTTAAAACATGTATGCTGAAGAGGCCAGCTAGTTTTTATCTTTTTCTGCTCAAACCCCTTTCCCGTCCCCATCTGTTTAGATGACAGAAGTGCAGGAAAGCCCCCAATTCTCTGTTCTACGGTTGACTTCAAAATACCAGTTCAATACAAAGGTCAAAAGGGCAGTTTCCCGGTGAATATTAGGATGTGAATACCAGGTGAAACATAAGTAGATCTAATCCTCCAAGTACTGAAGATGTTAGGATGTAAGATGGCCTAGGATTTATAGGTACATCCTTTTATGTGGATGGCTATAGGAGGGAGGAGAGAACAGAAACTAATCTGGAGCCATCTTAGTTACAAGAAAGTCAAATGAGAGAAAACCATGTTAAAACATATTTAATTTTTTTAATGTGGATCATTATAAAATAACTTTCTGTGGGTGTATTTGAGCATGACTTTAATTTCCCCTCTGGTTAGACTTAGTCAGATACAATGGGTCAGCGCTAACTGGTCAGGTGGAGTCCCAGCATCCTCTCCGTCGTTCCCATGTTCTGCCTCAGACGGAACCCCAGTTCTCACTGTGGAGACTAGCCACACTGTGACTGAAGCCTGAAGCGCCACCATTGCCCGCTCCACGTGCTCTGCGATGGGCCATCCTAGCGCGACTCCCAGCAGCAAGTTCTGTGAACACAGATGTACACTTAACTCCTTATTGGATCTAAGGGTTTTCAAGAACGGCATGTGAGGAGGACGTGAGCCCCTTTCCCCTCCTGCCGGCATTCGTTTATCTTTTACGTTCACTTGCCAACAGAATCTGGAGAACCCTTTGCCATATTCAGGAGGCTAAACGGGATCACTGAGAAAAGGCAACGCGGGAGCATCCCTTCTCGCCCGCCCCCTTGTGATGTCTGTGTGAATTTCAGTGTGTCCGGGTGGTTGGACCCAGGATCCAGTGAATGGCTTCACTGATCTGAGGCTTGTATTTCACTTCATTTGTCAACTTATCCTTACTCGGTGTAACTTCTTGCACTCTTGTGGCTAATTTTAATGTAAAACCAGTTAACTTTTAAAAGAATGTGCCTACGTAACAAAGTCTACACACTGGCTATTCCTGTAGAGGTGAGGTTTTGTTTTCAATGTTTTGCTGAATAATCTGTAATATCTTTTTCGAACTATGAAAAGGAAGTATTAATAAAACATTTTTAAGCAAAGTATCATTGCAGCATTTAATAAATGCAGGCGTGATAAAGAATACATTTGCCGGCTATGGTGGCTCATGTCTTTAATAAAAGAACAAGAGAGATGGCTTAACAGTTACAAGTGCTTGCTGCTCTTCCAAAGGACATACATCAAAAACATCCTGTAATTCCAGCTCCAGGGGACCAATACTCTGGCCTCTGTAGCTACCTGCATTACACGTATGCATACCCACACAAACATACATACATAACACGTTTTTTAATCCTCCAAGAACTTTAAGTCACAGGTAGTGGTGCATGTCTTTAATCTCACAATCTCAGCACTCAGGAAGCAGAGGCAGGTGGATCTCTGTGAGTTCAAAACTAGCCAGTTCTACCTAGTTCCTGAACAGCCAGAGCTACATAGTGAGACCCTGACTCAAAACAAAACAAACAAGGAAAAAAAAACATAGTATTTTCACAAAATTATGTACTGATTATACTCTGTGACCACCAGTACAAAGATTCGCAGTGTGTTTTCTCACTTAATGTAAGTAATCACCTTTCTCTGACTGGTGACTGGCTGGTGGCTCTAACAAACTTTACCAAAAGTTAGGGACTGATGGTATGGTTTGAATGACAATGGCTCCTATGGGCTCCTGTGCTTGAATGCTCATTTCTGCAGTTGGTGAACTGCTCTGGATAACTAAGAGGCGTGGCCTCACTGGAGGAGGTGTGTCCCTGGACTCTGAGGTTTAAAAAGCCCACACCATTCCCACTTAGCTTGCTCTGTCTCTCTGCCTTATTGTTGTCTCTACATATATGCTCTCAGCATTGCTCCAGAGCCTTGCCTGCCTGCTGCTGTGCTCCCCGCTGTAATGGTCACCCTCAGACACTGTATGCAAGCCCTCAGTTAAATGCTCATTTATGAGTTGCTTTGGTTGCACCATCCCTTCACAGCAATAGAAAAGGAACTGTAGAAACAGACACTCCTGCTCCTAAATGTCACTGGCCACACCCTACTGATGGAGTTCCCTATGAAGCACTGTCTTCTTAAGCCCCAACCTGAGCAGACCAACTGCTCAAGTTCCCAAGCCATTCTCTGCCAATGAAGACTAAAAACTTAATATCCTGTCCTGGCGGCGATAGTATTCTTAAGTGAACACTCTCAAACCTCATATAAATGCTCACACAGGAAGCCAAGGAGCAGATAAGGGACAATTTTTAATGACAGTTGCTCTATGACCCTCGACTCACTCTTTAATTTCTCCTGTGTGGATACCAACAGTCATCACTAGCCAAGATTGTGAACAGTGGGAGGAAGTCATTAAAATGAAACCTACTGGTATAAATGAACTACCAGACTTGACAGCATCTGTTGTCTGCTGCACAGCAAACAGGATAGCTGGCCAGACAACCTGAAGGCGAGTAAAAATCGCTTTGCTTTCTACTTCATTCACTCTATGATACAAAGCTTTTAGTTCCATCCTGTCTCATCCCGCCCTGGACCCAGTGAAGGCTATTTCCAAACAAAATGAGTTCATCTTGCATTGCCAAAAAATACAAAGTTGCTCAAAAATTACAGATAAAATGGTCAGGAAAAGTTGGCGTGAAAATGTCTGACCTGGGAGCTGAGACTTGGCTCGACAAGCAAAAATGCTTTCTGGGCAGTCCTGATGACCCAAGTTCTAGAGTTCAAAGCCAGAATCCGCATGGAAACGATGAAGGCAGTGGAGCACATCTGAATTTACAGCCCCAACAGTACTACTGCAAGGAGGGAGGCAGAGACGAGAAGCTTAAACCACACAGCAGAAGGGCAGCAGAAATAGCAGGAGAGATGCTGCCCCCAAGACCAGGTGGGAAAGAGTACTGGCTGCCAGATGCTGTCCTCTGCCTTCCCTATGTGCACTGTAGCATGTATACACACAAAATCAATTCTTAATCAATCTATAAAAAAAACCATACTACTTTCCTTCTGAGCAACATAGGCCAATAGAGCAAAATCCAAGGACCAGGGATTTCAGTGTCCCTCCTCTTCTTCCCCAACATCTCCTCCTCTCCTTTCACCTCCTTCGCCTCTCCTCTCTACTTTACTAAACAGGTAAAGATAGCAAGATGAATCTAGTTAATCCTGAAGAATCTAGTGGTGGTGGTAGAGAAATGGGGCACATCGAGTGATCTAAAACACTCTGATTATCTCTGCCTACTTTGACTCCATTCTGTTGCTTCCATTTGTGCGTGTCCTCAGCTGTGTGTGTGTGTTCCATGAGTTTTATGAACACTGTGTGTATGCAGGATCCCTCAGAAGCCAGAAAAGAGGAGTTACAGGGGGTTGTGGGCTATCATGAGGGTATGAGGGTGCTGGGAACCAAACCTAGGTCATCTGAAAAAGCAGTAAGCACTCTCAGTAACTCAGCCCTTCCTCTGCTACTTTTAATACTTGTTTTCTGGGGGCTGGAAAGATGGTTTAGTAGTTAAAAGCACTGGTTGTTCTTTCTGAAGATCCTGGATCCACAAGTTGTAGGCAGAAAGAAATAGAGGGGGGGGGGCTGGTATGGGTTTTCGAAACCTCCAAGCCCACCCTCAGTGACAGACCTCCCCCAACAAAGCCACACCTTCTCCAGCATGGTCACACCTCCTAATCCTTCCCCTCCAGTTCACTAGCTGGGGACCAAGCATTCAAACAGATGAGCCAGCAGTATCATTTTCATTCAAACTATCACTTAGGATTTCTGACACTAGCTGGGGGGGGGGGGGGGGGGGGGGCTTCCCCACTGTTCTGGATAGCTTTGTGTCAACTTGACAGAGGCTAAGGTCATTTTAGAGGAGGGAACCTCAATGAAAATACTTCCATACAATCATTCTGTAGCAAAGCTTGTGAGGCATTTTCATATTTAGTGATTGATGTGGGAGAGCCCAAGTCCATTGTAGGTGGGACACCCCTGGTCTGGTGTCCCAGGCTGAGCAAACAATAAGAAACAAGCCAGCAAGCAGCGCCCCTCCATGACCTCTGCATCAGCTCCTGCCTCCAGGTTCCTCCCCTGTTTGACATTCTGCCCTGACTTCCTACAGTGATGAACATATAGAAGTGTAAGCCAAATAAACACTTTCCTCCCCAAGTTGTTTCAGTCATCATGTTTTAAAACAACAATAGTAGCCCTAACTAAGACACCCACATATTTCAACACTTCAGCAGATTCTACATAGGGGTGCCCTCTGATTCCATTTAATTCCAGCCAGACTGCACTGAACCTGGTTACCTTATAAGTAGTCTAGCAGAAACTCAATGATTGACCAAATATAAGCTGTCATTTCTATTGCTGCCAAAATGCCTTTTATTCTTTCCTGAGATTTTGAAATTATTAGCTTAACTTATATCCAAGGCATCAGTTCACCGTCTTTGGAAATGAGCCAACAAAGTATGATTGCCAAGAGCAACATAAAGATAATGAAAAGTTGTGTAACCAAGGGAAAATCAGCACTGGATCTCAGGAAATCCCACAATGGTGAACACTCAACTTGTGACTGAATGAAATGACCTTGTTTCAACCCCAAGGTCTTTGACCCCTTATTCATAATTCTAGTGATGGGATTACTTCAGGTAAGAATATTCTGTGTAAAAGGGCAAGCTCAAATGGGGAGTAGAATGTGAAATTCTATGTTCCTTTTATCTCTCTCTAAACCAGATTCTAGAGCCTTTATGAACCATTTAGTACTCCAGAGCAAGAGAAATGGCTCAGTGGACAGGAGAATTCTTAGTTCAGTTCTCAGGACCCATATGGTTCCCACATACAACTGACTCCCACAAGTTATCCTCTGACATACTGTTCTCTCTCTCTCTCTCTCTCTCTCTCTCTCTCTCTCTCTCTCTCTCTCACACACACACACACACACACACACACACACACGAGAGAGAGAGAGAGAACATTATTATTATTATTAATTTGGTTTTTAGAGATTGAGTTTCTCTGTGTAGCTCTGTCTGTCCTGGAATTAGCTCTATTAACCAGGCTGGCCTCAAATCTCAGAGATTTGTCTGCCTCAGCCTCCCTAGTGCTGGTATTAAAGGCATATGCCATCATTGCCTGGCTGCATTATTTTTTTTTTAATTTGGTGCTCCAATAATGCCATAGCTAATCTAGTTTCCTAATACAGTGTACCCTAAAGTCCTCCCTCAAAGAAGAGAGAATTAAGTATAGCATAAACAATCCTAGATTTTGGTTATAAAAATTTCAAGTACTTCTTTCTGAGTATTTTTCAGGGACTGCAAGATGTGCAGATAATAGCTCCATAAGTTGCCACGGCAATGATAGCCAGCATCGTTAATATCATTGTAATGCTTTAACCTTTCTTCTCCCTTGCTTCTACTAAAGACACATAGAATACAAAGTGTATGCTTTCCATTACAAATTGATGTCAATTTCCCTTAGCATTTAATCTCTACAGTTCTTTGCTAACCCAGTGTGCTTCTCTCTATATCATAAAAAAATTGTGATGTGGGAGAGGTTTGGGAGGCTCCAGGAAGACCCATTGGCAATTAATGGCTGCCTAGAAACCCGAGAGCCGTCTTCTTCAAGTGATGTGGTCACTGGTTTGTTGTCCATGTTCCAGTAAATAACCACACACACAGTCATGAAAGAATCCCTAATCAAAAATCAGTGGATACACTCACAGACACACACACACACACAGAATGCATATTCACCACAGACACACACACACACACACACAAATATGCACTCACACACACAAACACAGAGAGAGAGAGACATGGAAGTAAGAGGGGGACTTATTGGGAAGAAAAGAGAGGTCAGTGGGAGTGAAATAACAGACGGTAATTGTTGCATGTGTATTTAATCAGAATACATTGTAGATATGTACAAGACTGCCAACAAATAAACAATCTCAAAAGTCCTGTAGTTTCTAGCACTCTACTGTCTCTGCATGCAATATTTACCTCTTACACACCTAGGAAGCAGACACTGCAATATTTACCTCTTACACACCTAGGAAG